GTGAGGGTGGTGCAAGACCAGGCAGTGTTTTGTTCTGTTGTACATAGAGTCGCTATGAGTCAGAACTAACTTATGGCACCTATCAACAATGACACTGTGAATTCCATATACACGTCATATATAGGATTCATAGGGCATATATGGTTGTCACTGATCTATTTTGCATTATAAGTAATGTAATTACTGGATTTGTTTTTGTTATAGGAAGATCTTACCTCTGAAGTAAATTCTAACCTTGACAGGCAAAGCTACCCTTTGAAGAAATACCCACTGCGTGAGAAGAGCTATTTTTAAGCTGCTGTCTTATGTAAGTAAACAGCTTAACTGTTTCTTCTTATCTTGATTTGCTAACGATTTCATTTCCTACTGTCAATGTGCAGTAACTAGAAAGCATGGTGGATGGGAGACATGGAGAAGACATAAGAACATGTTCTTCTTTCTGTTAGCATAATAAGGGTATTTGGGTCAACCAGCTCATCAGTTTCCTCTTTCTTCCTGCTTATGGAATAGCCCCTCTGGCCTTCTTGAACATAGGCTCTTTCCTGCCTTGGGGCTTTTGAACATACTGCTCTCTCTGGAATACTTCTTTCTGATTCTGCCTAGCTAACATCTACTTATCCCTCAGGACTCATGACATCCCTCCCTCCCAGGTATACCCTCTTAGCACCTTGCACATTTCTTTCATAAAGTATGTAACAATTTGCTATTATATTTTTATTCAGGCTGATTGTTTAAAGGCTACCTTTTCTACTAGAATGAACCTTCCTGAGGGCAGGGACCCTGTCAGTATTGTCCACTACTTTATACCCTACTTTTAGCACCATACAGTGGAATCACATTAAAAAAACCCCACAAAAACTCACTGCCATCGAGTCAGATCCAACTCATAGTGACCCGATCTTGGATTTCTGAGGTGGTATCACTATGGAAGTAGATTGCCCAATCTTTCTTCCAAGGAGCGGCTGGTGGATTTGAACCGCCAGACTTATGGATAACAGTCAAATGCCTTAGGCACTACGCCACCATTCACATTAAACAGGTAAATTCAACCAAATGCATTAGATTTGCGGCCTGACTCTCAAATCTAATTTCCCACCTCCACCCTGCTGCTGTCCTTGTTTCTGATGACCCTCCACTGTGGCTGATGCTCAGTATATATTTTTTGTATGAGTGGATATTGAACAAGTAACTAGGCAACTCTAGATTTGTGGCAATTCAAGAATGTGTGGCAAGT